TATAACGTTTCTGGGACGACTGCCTGATATATATATGCGATACAAGGGACATCCTACTAAGGGTGATCCCATGCGGGATAACGGGGATCAAAATAGAACGTCCCACGAACATTTTGTGCTTGCTGGATATACTGGCTTATCAAAAGTGTACCTACCTATTATAATGTCATGACTAGTATACACGTGGTATAAATCTTTCTCTAGATCATTCCTGCTATAAACGTTTAACGAATATTGATAACAAAACTCGTATTATTTAAAAATTGTTATAACTTAAATAAAAAAGTGTAAGTATAGAAGTTTTTTGTTAAACTGTATATTTTTTTACTATATGTATAAATAAAGTATTTCCTACTTATTTTACGTGTATTAATTTTGATTTTCTTTTTTGCTCCTATATCATTCCACTTCGGAATTGTTATGATGATTTTTTCTACCTGAAAACTTTAAAACAGTTCAATTTTGTTATATTTTCATCAATAACTAAACCATCACACTGTAGTTGTGTAAAAGGAAACCGAAATTGCAAAATCTTGCAGCGCATTTTCGTATAAGTCAATGAGATAGAAGAAGATAAACAACCGTCAGGACAGCGGGTTGCCTACATTTTGATTTTGCCTCACTTTTATCGCGCAAAGAATCCGTGCTTCAAGTTCATTGCACATGTCGGTATCTTGACCACATCGAAGCAGTGATGCCAGGTCGGTAAAATTAAAATCCCCATATGGTAACTTAAAAAATCCCTAGTTTTTCCTAGATTTTCAAAAAAAAAATTATAAATACAAATGTTTAATAAAAAATGATAAGTGAAACATAACAGGTTATTGGAAACGGTATATTACGAAATTTGAAAAGTTTTAAACAATTAAACTCAAAATTTTGCTTCAATTTGTATTCTTCTTATTTATTCTCTTAAATTCAAGCTTTAGTTTAAATATGTATTTGACAAAGTTTATATGTAGATGGGGCAGGTGCAAATCACACTCACTGTAGATGTATTGATTTTTGCATTGCATTAAAGATAATTTCCGGGAAATTAAAAAGACCTTAAAGGAGATTCTTAATTAATTCAGATTTCTTAAAACAAATTGTGGTTCTTCTAATTGTTAGCTTTCTGAACTCCGTTATATTAATATTTTCTATCCAGAATTAATTTTTTTACGAATAAACGAAAAATTTTAAAAATTCCTATATAATTTTAACAAATCCCTTTTCCTTTTGCCTGAGAAATCCCTAGAACTAGAGAAAAATTTATCAGTATGGCATCACTGCATAGAAGTACTGCAAGGAGTATGTAGGTGATTTTGACTTGCAGGCCTTGGGCGACTTTTGGGCGATATTTGCCGACAACACTGGCGACTAACAATCAAGAAAAACCGGCAACTCTGCACAGTACTGCCAGTTCGGAATGTCTCGCCCTGATGTTCTGTTGATATGTGGTTGATATATGGCGAAGAACAGTGAGAGTGAAAAAGTTTTTAATTTTTAACTTCTCACCAGAAAAGTATCGATTATTGCCACCAATTAGATGTGAAGTTGATAGGACACAGAACTTCTAGCTTCTAGTTAACTTCAGTTAGGCGTCATGAAGCGACAGGTACTGGTACTGCCTCTAACAATGGTGATGTTTATGTTATGCCCCGTATGCGTCTGGGAATATGTACAACAGATGAATCACTATTCGGATAAACGAATTAAATGATAGCATCATGATCATAATATTTAACTAGGGTAGATACTGTTATCAATGATTGTCAGTTTGAAACGATCCTAACTTCGGTGATTAGCACAATTCCTAAACCAAAATAAACTGTACTAAGCGTATATTCATGAAATGTCTATTTCTTTGTTGATGTAAATAAAGGAATACCTATGTATTAAATAGTTTACATCTAGGACAACATTTTCTTCGATTTTACAGCTTAATAGCAAACTTTGCCTTTTTGTAATTACCATTACTTCTATTTTTAATATTTTTATTGCATTCTGTACAATATAAAATGCATCTTAAAATTATTTATGTATATCGGTAAGCATTCACCGGTTACTTCTGCTTTCCTGATGCTTGATTATGTCTTGTACATTCGGGCACATGCATTTATTTGTCTATGGCAAGCGTCACGTCAATAAACAAACCATTCTGCTTTAATGCCATACGTTGAACCATACAAGCAACTTCATTGCTCACATCTATTGTATATGTTACAGACCGTATATGTAAAACCGGCAGTATATAAAATGACTAGTCCGTATATAAACGGACTGAATATTTCAGTCCATATGTGTAACAAATTTGTCCTTCAAGAAACGGACTAGTTGCTTTGTAAAGGGACTAGACTGTTTAATACGGTCCAACTTCGACTAGTCCATATGTAAACGGACTAAATCCCGGTTAATGCAGACTTTATGCAGTTTTAGCTTGGCATTTATTTTGGTTCTAGCTTGAAGTACCCTTAATATTAGATGTAATAATAAAGTGGGTTGTTCAAAAATTTCGCTGAAAAATTCAAAAATTCAAATTCAAATCATTGAAATTTCGAGACATTCATAGGTAGACTGTCGGCAGCCATAGGGAAAAAGACGGCAAAAAATTAGAAATCCAATGCAAGCTGGGATTTTTTTTATAAACACGTTGTTATTAAAACAATTAAAGGACTGTGCACACTGATCATTAGGAAAGTACCCTTTAGCTAAACCCCGGCTGTTCTCGGCAACCTATTTTGTTCGCTCATACAGTTGTTCGTAAAACCTATATTTTTAAATTGGAACATATTATTAATAACTACATCTGATTTACTTTTGTAATTTCATATCTGAAATATATCGTATTTAGCGTCGCCTTTAACAAAGAACCAACTATTTTTACCACAATTAACAATTGAAAATGTAAACATCACATAAAACATCATTGCGCTTGAACAAACGGACTGGATAGGAATCGTCCGTATATAAACGAACTAGTCTGTATATTAAATGGCATGTCTTTTTGCAAACGGTCTGTTGTATTAGGCCGTATATATATGGCCTAGTCTGTATATATACGGTCTGATTCTATATACTGTCTGTAACATATATACAAATATCATTAATAGTATGTACTTGCAATGGAAAGTTTTTATATTTAATAAATTACTTACTAAAAACTTTAAAAAAAAATGTCAATATATGGAGAAAACAACAAAATGTTCATTTACTTATGTATTGAATTTCTATTCTTTTGTTCCAGGAACATGCCCAACAGAACAACTGCTATGTCATGAATCGGAACAATCTGCTTTAGGTAAGTGGTCCCGATGAATGGTAATATACTTGATTAAATTTAAAAAAATGGAGCTATCTTGATAAAAAAAATGTCCAAGAAATTAACACCTTCAACTAATTCTAAGTAAATGTGTAAAATTTCTCTTAACTTAAAAACGTGTGGAGACCACAACATAACATTTACGAACTAATAAACAAACAGTACCAGTTGATAATTGTAAATTTGAAATCATCGTCAAGCTGCCAACAAGCAGCAGCGGATATGTGCGAATTTTTGCTTCATTCTATCGCGCCGAAGCTTATAGGTGTTTTGCCCTTTACGGGTAAATCAGTGGTGAAGATAAGCATGTTTGCTATGTAAATACACAATCAGGATATTACGTTGTTACACCAATGTTGCAGTTATCTTTTTTATCAGTATATCGTCAAATCTTGTCCGTTGAAGGGGCAATTCAATCCTGTGAGTTTAATGAAGTTGTAATGATGAATAAGTTTTCAAAAACATGCGAAAAGTTAATTTGCTTCGTTTACTTATTTTACATCAATCTAGAACTTATTACTGTCGTAGTTCAAGTCAACTTTCAACTTTTGCATATTTTCATTATCACAATCATCATTACCAGCAGGCCGCAGCTCTTCGAAAAGCTTAGCACAGTTTAGCCTATACGGATTCAAATATGTTGATCTTTCGATTGCATTTAATTGACCTCGCCTTTAAATTATCTGTTGAGTCAAATGCAAGATTATTCGGTCAGCTGGCAAAGTTTTCGCTTTAGAAGAAATGAATGTAGTTGCGGATTCTTGCCAAAGGAAACCTTTTTAATATGTTGTCCAAAATGAAAGTGAACAGTTACATCTTACAGAAAGTTTCTGTTTTTTTAAATTTTTTGGAATTTTTTTTTCTGTTTCAGGTTTAGTTGAATTGGTCGCTACATGAACATATAAGGTAAGTCGTGAGCTTTTTTATTGTCGACGCAATAATCACTGTTTATATTTAACAATAGCATCGATGACTTTATCCATCTTAGTACCAGAAAAAGTTGCTAACACTTCCCTGTTCTTGATGAAAATGAAAGTGGGCATAGCAGTGACTTCATACTCCTCAGCCAGCTCTTCCATCTCGTCCACATTGATTCGTAAAAAGGGGACAGTGGCATGTTCTTTGGCCAGATCATTCACTTTAGTTTCCACCATCTTACACGATCCACACCATGGAGCATAGAATTCCAAGATGATCAAGTCTTTTCCTGCCTTGTCTATTTGGGACTGTAGGTCGACTTTGTTTGCGATTTCCACAAACATATTACCTACAATGTTTCTAATGGCATTTCGGAACTCTGTGATGACATATTGAATAAATAATTTGAGTGAAGGTCTACCACCATTGACATTTTAAAATGACGGCCTATTTCGGTTTGGAACCGACAAATGACATACAAGCACCAGCGGGTTTTTTGCTTTTTATAGCCGTGTACATCGAACTGCTAAACTGTTCTGTTCCACCTGATTCCATCAGAAGTTTAAACAACAATAACTTCACATAAACGTATCTATAGTATGTCCCAAGCTTTTTGGAAGTGACGTAATAATTGTCGTTCTTTTTCTATTACTTCTCCACGGACCGAGACGGAAATTTAATGTTGCTTGTTGATGTGGGATGAGTTTCTCATGTTTATCTTTTACTTTCTTCATAATGTGATTGCAGGATTATCATCCAGAAAATAACACACACACAGCCAGTTCTGTACGTACAATTGACGCAAATTTACAGCGAAACTGAAGAAAGTTTTTTATTTTTCCAATTGATAGTGTACGTTTAGCAAATTTTATCTCATTTTTGTAAATCCAAATAATTTAGGCATGTTGTCTACCGATCTCGTAAAAAGTGAATTCATATACAGGGTTATTCAAAATTGGCGTCATTCCTCTGGAGGTGTTGTCTGGCGGTGTTTAAAGAGTACAGAAAAAATAGTAAAACATATTAATGGTTATTAAAAACTGATAAATTTGCAAAAAAATATATTAGAAAAACGGCAGCAATGTTTTTCAAGGTAATCTGCCTAATAAACATTACGTAAATACCTGTTGCTTCGTAATTATTTAAAACTCCGGTAACCATGGATAAATAGAGAAAGTGACAATAAGATAGACAAGGATAAACGGTAAATTCAACAGAAATCGTTGAATGACAGAACCTATTTCGAAACTCATAACCTCGAATTATTAATTACTTTACAAATTACAAAAACATACATTTGAGTCTGTAACTCCAAACATGTGCCTGTGTAATCACCTTATTATGCACTCTTCTCGAGCAGCTTCTCGTATTCGGTTTATTAACTCCTGCTCAATTTATACCGGTGTTCAGTAATCCATTAGTTTAATGTGATCTTACATACGCGGTAGGAATGCTGGTATTTATTTGGTGCCTGGGAAAGTGTCAGTTGTTGTGCAATGTACTGAGTGCCCCCGAAAGGCTCTTCTGCAATTATGTCCAATACTAGTTTCTGTGTGTCTGGAATCTAAACATCAATTGTCGTCCACTGTCTCTCAGGAACCATTCTCCTCGCCCTTTGTTGGCGTGAGTTCTTTCAGCTTCGGCTATGTTACTGTAGCATTTCCCCTGAACTAATCGTATATCGCAAATTCGTGAAAGGAGATTCACAGGATGAGTAAGTCACAGTTTGACAAATTATTGTTAATATTGACAAAGGCTATCCACCTAAACCTATCTGTTGATGACAAAAAACATCATTGCCGCTTTAACTTTTCATCAAAAAATTGTAGCAGATAAATTTTATATATATATATAAATAATCTTCATTTCCTATAGAAAAAGGCTATCGACCTAATCGGTCTTTCTGCCCTTGAGTAGTACATATATGTCTTAGCCTAGCTTATTCTAAAATTAAGTCTTATTCCTAGCACACATACATTTTTTAATATGAAAGATTTTCGTAATTTGCAGCAAAGATCGTAATTTTTCTTTTTGAATGCCTAAGAATTCCATCATGCTACCAATTAAACATGGAACACTTTCAAAATAACTCTTAATAACAAAGTTGAAATTCGATTTTCAACTGTTAATATCTTCTAGAAAATATCGAAAAAAAAAATTAAATATTTTTCTCGTACCTTCCAAGTGAGCCGCTATTGCCTCTTAAAAGGAATGACGCCAATTTTGAATCACCCTCTATTATAGAGAAAAATAAAAGTTCCGGGCTTACACGAACCAATACTAAGGACAACTGTTGATTTTTTATTATTAATTGAGGTTTCCGGTTTCAGATTGATGGTACTATGTCTCGAATACCGTTCTGGATTTTGGTCTTGTCGGCTTCGTTCATCCGTTACACAGTTTCGGACTCAGACTGGACTAAAGAGTGCAACATATGCTCTTGCATATGGGTGAGTGGTCGGAGAACCGCAAATTGCTCTAACAAGGGATTTAACCGAATACCCAACGGCCTCAGTAACTTGGTTCGTGAAATAGACTTTTCGAATAATGCCCTCTACAGTCTCGCCGATGGAGAGTTTATCAGTGCCAATCTTCTTGATATACACAAGTTAAAGTTTCAAAATTGCTCAATCGAACTATTGGATGAAGGCGCATTCAGGAGATTGGCACTCATTATCGAATTGGACTTGTCCAGGAATTCCATAGCGGAGTTAAAAAGCAACACGTTTAGAGACAATGTGAAGTTGCGAATTCTCAGTCTAAGTTATAACAGAATTAAAACTCTGGAGGAGGGTCTGTTCAGTAACATGTCGTTCGTTCAAAGAATACACGTAGACCACAACGAAATCGAGCATATAAGTGAAAACACATTTTACAATCTTCCGCTGTTGACTGATATAAATTTAGGGTACAACAAACTTAAAACTGTCGCGTTTGACCTGAAGGAGAAATTGCCAAAACTGAACAGTCTGAACGTCGAAGAAAACCCATGGATTTGCGATTGCCGACTTGAGCTATTCCATCAGTCGCTTATGAAAAACAATCTAATCACACACGCTACAAAATGCGAAAAACCGCCTAAGTTTAAAGGACGACTATGGACAGCGAGGGAAAGCTTTCCTTGTTCGCCTTCTATAGTACAGCCCATGCCATCAAGCCAAATCACTGCTACCACCAGCAACATCACTTTAGTTTGCAAAGTGTTGGGCGAGCCTACGCCCGATGTAGAATGGATCAACAACGGCCACATCGTCGAAAGGGACCCCAGAAAAAATAAGCAGAAATACTCCAATGCGAAAAGTAGAACTGCAGAATACACCTGGAACAATCTGACAATCATCAACCTCAGCTATAAGGACAGAGGCGACTACAAATGTATCGCTAAGAACCCGGGAGGCGAAGATGAAAAGGCCATAACGCTGCTCATCGACAGTGAAGTGTACCTGAGTGGAACAACTGCCAGCTTTGGAGGCTCTCCTGTCCTAATAATTAGCCTCTCCGTAGGACTGATTGTTCTACTAATAATCATCTTAATATTGGTTTGCCTATTCTGTCGAAGGGCAAAAAGCAGAACCATGCAGTCGAAGCGAAATGATTTGGACAGTTCCTCGGAAGAGTGTATTAGTATGGGAGGACATGCCGAAATTAAAAAAGGCATAATGACTGATGTGAATCCCATCTGCAAACCGCCAAGATCTTCTGTTCCTGCTTCGGTAGTAAGTGGGGGCACAGAAGTGAGCGACGCTAAACGAAATCTACTAGACAACGAATCTGTTTTCGGTAAGAATGTTTGAACTTCGCCCGAACTCATCAACCTAAAACTATTGGGTTTTAGATTTGGATGACGAAACCCGATCGTTCGATTTCGATCAGCCCCTTCTTCAGAAATCCAACAACGCGCTTTTGGAATCCGATTATCGGCCTCATCAGAACCAGTATCCGCCAGATCTGCTTACGTTTCCTGCGCGGACCCAAATTTCTCCAGCGCCATCAAATGCTTCAACTATCATGATGGATAGGTGAGACTAAAGCCACTTTTCAGTAAGTGTAACTTTTACTGATTTTTTATGTATTTAGATTACCGCCTACTCACGGACTTCAAAGTCCGATGCACAATCCCATTTACGACCAACTGAGCATCTATAAAACGTTGCCATACTCCCGATCACATAGTCCCTTCACAGTGGGGATTCCAAGATTCCCTAGGCAAGGAGTTGGTTACGTTACCATTCCGAGGCGGCCCAGGCAAAGTTGGAGCTCGGAGCCGCCGCCAAACAGCGAAGTTATAGGCGAACCACTCTACGACAACTTGGGAACTCGAAGTACTGTTGATGGTAAATTTCATAATATCACGCAAGATTTATTACTACTGTCATATACATTCTTCATATCAAAGAAATTAATATATTCTTGTTTGTAGGCAGTTCAGTATTGTCATTGAACAAAATAGGCACAGATTCAGGTTCAACTCCTCGTTCGAACCGGTTGCTATCTTTGACTCCGTTGAGCCCGATTTATGGTCCAATAGTTGAATCCCACGAAGCACCCCATGCTCACGAACCACCCAGGCATCCCTCACCTCAGAAACCATTTGCACCTGGAAGACAATCACCACCATCAAGTCCAGAGGTTCGATCCAGGCCCCAACCACCTCAGCAACTTAGCGGGAGTCAAACCTTACCCAGGAATTTGAATTCAGCCAAAATGACACTTGTACCCTCACCGCTGGTTGATGCGGGTCAACTGCGAAGTCCAAACGAAAGTCGGAATTCTATTGGCAGCGATAATTCTATGTGTGACAATGGTAGAAAGCGCTAATAATATTCAATCGATTATCGTAAAATAATGTTGTGCTATTTCTCAGGAAAGCCCAAAAAGATTCCGCCACGACCTCCGCCAAAACCGAAGAAACGAGTTTCATCAGGACCCTTGCTTGAGGACGAAGGAGAAGATGGCACGGAAGTGTGATTGTTGCTAAAACCAGTCCTGGGACTGGTTTTAGCAAGCAACTAATCAAATCAATGTCTATTCCTGATCATGGTGTTTTTCCTTCAATACAGGGTGTCCAATAAATATGTACATATTGACAATGCGATATAGTTTAAGAGAAGCGACGACGTATTTGTAAATAGCTGCTGAAACTACTTTATCGATTTAAATGGTTAAGAAAAATTGTTTACTTTATTATAACATCAATTATATTTTATACGAGTGTCTGAATAGTGTATTTAAAGCAAATACCTCACATTCGCAATTCGATTAGCAGATTAATGCGACAATTTCGAGTCGAATTTCGACTAGAATCGAGAAAAGACACAAAGCAATTCACTTTAGTGGCCACTGAACTGACGGAGGATATGATGGAACACTTCCAAATCGGAAAAAGGAAGCGGGAAGCACTGAGGCAATTTCAATCTGAATTTTGCAAAAAGAGCAAATTGAAGAAATTCTATTGGGCTGGAAAAACAACGGATTTCCATCTGAAATTATTTCCGTTGTCAATCAAACAGTGGCGGCTGGCTTGGAGATGTACAAAGCAGCCATCGAGAATCTTAGGCCGACCCCATCCAAGAGTCATTACGTTTTTAATTTGAGAGATTTCTCCAGAATGATACATGGTATTTAATATATCATGCCATTCATAAGTAGGTCTAGATTATAATAAAGTTCCCCTTAGGTTGCGCAATGCTTCGGAAAGAATCAGCCGAAAGTAAAAAGACGTTTGCCAAAATATGGGTGCACGAGGTGCTCAGGGTGTTCTACGATCGACTAATAGAACATCAGGATCGAGAGTGGTTGTTTGGCAAATTGCGGGTCTGCGTCAAAGAGAACTTTCGCGACTATTTTGAGCAAATATTTGACAATTACCCTAGGGATAAGAACGGTCGGTAAAGATCAGTTTATTATTCGGTACAACTATGGAGAAAATGATTTAGGGATTGTCTTGCAAAGTGCGATAAAAACGTTGATGTTTGGGTCGTATTTCGACCAGGACTCGGACGAGGATAAGCGATACGAAGAAGTCGTGTTGTTAGAGGCGTTCAAAGCCCTAAGCCAAAACTGCCTGGACTAGTACAATGCCACTCACAAGACCAAAATGGATATAATTTTATTTGATTATGCTCTAGAGCATCTCTCGAAAATCTGCAGAGTCTTGTCAATGAACTGTGGCAGCGCATTACTCGTGAGAGTGTTCTAATTACGGTGTTGGTTGTTCCATGTCGTTTTTAGGTAGGATTAAGTGGATCCGGACGTCAATCGCTAACTGGTCTCGGCAGCGAGATTTTCGGACACACCTTGTTCCAACCGGAAATCACAAACAACTACAGCATTAACGACTGGAGGGACGATATAAAGAAGATCCTGAAGAAATCGGGTGGTAAAGGAAAGCACAGCGTTTGTCTGATTTCAGAGGGCCAAATCAAAGAGGAAAACTTTTTGCAAGATGTCTTATGTCTAATGCTTAATTTAGGAGAAGTTCCCAATATTTATCAGATTGATGAAAAGCAAGAGATATTAGACATGGTCAGACTGGCAGCTCAAGGTTAATTTAGTTCAGTTTATTCCCTACAGCACACCTTTCAATTCGTTCATTCGCAGGTGATAATCGGAATTTTGAAATTAGCCCCTTGGAAGTGTTTTTCTTTTTTACGAAGCGTTGTAAAGAGCGATTGCACATCATTCTCTGCTTTAGTCCGGTCGGGTCCACGTTTCGAAACAGACTCAGATTATACCCAGCCCTCATTAATTGCTGCACTATAGATTGGTTCGAACTGTGGCCGGAAGAAGCTCTGGTTGAAGTCGCCCTCGGTTGGATAGCCGAAGTAAATTTGTCTGCCAACATTAAAGACGTTGCAGTGGTAATTTGAACTCACCAATGTGCCAATGTGTACATGAACTTAACATTGGTAATATTTGTATCAGACAGTTTGCCAAAATTTCCATGTTGAAGCTGCTAAGGTATCTGACGAATTCTTTGAGAAAACTGGTCGCAAGACATACATAACTTCGGTGTCCTACTTGGAACTGATCAAATCTTTGACCAACAAAAAGCAGAACGAACTGACTGCGGCGAAAAACCGTTATTTGGGAGGCCTGGAAAAGCTTTATCACTCCTCGATAAGCATCAGCGAAATGCAACAACACTCACTGGCCGAATTGCAGCCTCAGCTGAAGGAAATGAGCGAAAAGGCCACCGAAATGCTAAAGCAAATCGAAAAAGAAACATTAGCAGTAGAAAAAATATCGACAGTAGTGCAATAAGACGAGAAGGTAACCAAAAGCTTCTAACAGAATCGTACACCTTCAGACTTGTGATTACATCACTTAGATTGCCAACAAGCAAGCTGCAGCTGCACAAGCTTTAAAGAAGGAATGTGAAGCTGATTTAGCCGAAGCTTTGCCTATTTTAAACGATGCAATAGCTGCCCTGGACACGCTTAAACCAGCTGACATTACTCTGGTGAAATCAATGAAGAATCCTCCAGATGCCATCAAGTTGGTAATGGCGGCCGTTTGCATTTATAAAAGGACTGAAGCCAGATCGAATACCAGATCCTTCTACTGGCAGAATGCTTTTGGACTATTGGGGGCCCAGCAAAAGGTGAAGAAAATCGGTGTGCATTGGTGGAATTTTAGCATAGAATTCTGTATGTAGGTTGTTGGGCGACATGAACTTCCTTCAGAATTTAAAAGATTTCGACAAGGATAACATCAAGCCTGAATTGATGGCAAAATTGCGAAAAGAGTATATATCTAACAAAGACTTTAAGCCTTCCATTGTCGCCAAGGCGAGTAGTGCAGCTGAGGGACTATGCAAATGTATCAATAGTAAGCAATTTACATAGAGTGCAATTGACACTTTGCATTAAATTTATTTTTGATTAAAAACATACTAGAAGACAAGTTTTATTGCATATAAATACACTGCAAGAAAAATAAATCCCGAAAAAAATATGATTTTGGTATTAAATGGGCTTTCAAATCTGATCCAATTGACGTTATGCGGAAACGCCATGTGATTGGTCTGACGTTACAAGACACGCCGGCCTGCATGTAGTCGGTGTGCTCATTTAAACCGTACCTTGTGTTTTTCTTTATGATGTTTAGAAAGCAATCTTCTTCTTATTATTATTTGTACAGACCCTTTGGTCTGTTTATTTCGTCTGGTCAATGTTGTTGATTCTCCTGTGATATGGATGTCCAACTATTCCTTCATCTTTTCGGTGGTCTTCCGATGGGTCTTTTACCAGCTAGATTTCAATTCCATTCGACACAATCTTGGCTATTCTTTCGGGGTCCATTCTTTCTATATGCTCCCGCCAGCATCTTCTGCGCTTTCGTCCTTATCTGATTACAACCTCCACTTTGCAGGTCTGTCCTGTTGTTGCGCTTCTCACCCTCTCCCGTAGTGTTTTTCCCGCTATTACCTTAGAGTTTTCATCTCTGCCGTTTTAAGATACATTTTGTTTTGTTTGTGTCTGCTCGGGTTGCGATGCCGTAGGTGAGTATTGGTCTTACGCATCTATTATAGCATAAACTTTGCTAAAACGTGTTCTAAAGGCTATTGGAAGATCTTTTTTGACTTTATCAGCTGGCATCGACGTTATCAAACTTTTCAACATCCCGTTAGTTGGTTCAACTTACTTTGAAAAAATTGTACTAGCAGTATGTACTTGTAGAAACCCCAAAATCGTCACCTAACCCTCCAAAACTTTTATCAAAGCGAAATTGTTCAATTATAATAATATTTTCTGTGATTACACCCAGAAATCATTTTTGAATTATTTTGGATTTTCATAAAAGTATGTTTCGCTATAATAGACTTTCGATGTTCTTCATTTACCTTAGGGACGGGAGAAAAACATGGATGTTTCGCAAACATCGATGCAATTCATTCGATGTTCGATATTTTTACCATCGATGTTGGAAACTTGGGACATCGATAAAACATCGATGTTAGATCCCGAAATAAAACCATCGGACATTTGATGTTGGTACGAGATAGAAACATGTTCTGCAAACTCTTTGATAGTGCCGATACAAACGATACCGCGGCAAAGCGGCCCATTTCCAGCTGCACCCGACAAAAGCATCTTTTTGCAGTCAGTTGACCGAAAAATGTGGCAACTATTAGTGGAATACATTTAATCGATTATTTATGGTCATAGTAATAGTAAAATGAAATTATTTAAGTTTAAGTTAATCAATTTGAAATTTGTATGCAACGGTAAACTATCAGAACATCGATGTTGTAAAACATCGATGTTCTGATTGCGATGTTTACCTTTCCGATGTCAACATCGATGGCTACCATCGATGTTATAGGATGGATGTCCAATCCCTAATTTACCTCAACGCCAAGCTCAGAATCATCTGAACTGTCGATCTTCGTCATTCATCTCATCACTTAAGCGTGACAAACTCGACTCTGACGACGTGTTATTTTGGATTTTGCAAGTGTCTTTATTCGCGATAAAGCAATACTTTCAGAAGCAAATGTGATGGGTGGGCAACTTTGGGACAACGTATCTGCCCGGATGTTGCACTGTGATGCTTTACGTAAATCTCAAATTTACTTGTACTGCTACATCGACTCGTACTGATTTACACAAACTAGCATGCCTTTCTCGTTCAATTCCAGCTGAAGTTCCTTCTTCACATACGATGTCATTTTTTGAAGTGTTAGGTACGTTACGTTCGCATAAAACATTCGCAATAATTTCACGTTTGAAAACTGCACTACGTACTGGCAGATTCAAAGTTCGTTTTCTATCTGTTTGGCAGGAAAATTCGCTGGGAATTGCATCTGGTTTCATAATTTTTCGAGTTTCCATCATTTACCATTCCATATAATTTTCCATGTCGTTCTCAAGTTAAAAAGTACAGGTGATAACTAATCTAAATAGTATCTCCTTTTGATATTTACTTCAGAGGAGCGACGAAAATATGTAATAAAACATACTGTAAAATGATCTTCGCAAACATAATTGCAGCTTTTCGACGATATTTTTTTGAGATTTTGTCGCGCCATTTGAAGCCACAGTTTTCGTCCAAAAGCACTTTTACGAATGTTATTTTCTGGTGTAGACACCGTAGTACTGCTACACTAAGTCATTTTCTTCAAATCACCAACTAAACCTCACTAAGCACCCTTTAAAGTTGGCCTTAAAAAAAAAGTAAACGCCGGTACAACGTGAACTAAATACAAGCCCAATATCAAAGTCTTGTCTCGTAACGTCAGCCGTCCAGCAAGTGCTGGCGCCCCGTTTTGGAGCGCTAAAAAGAAATTCAAATTTAAATTGCTTATAACTTCCTTGTCCAAAAATTGAATTAAAAATAAAATTGTAGAACGGTTACTTGACAATAAATGAACAGAATAAGTGGAGAAAAAAATCTGCAAAGGACCTCTTTCACGAATTCGTATAGTACAATGGCGCGACTACTTAGTATTTAAACAATACAATGCAATGTATGAATTTGCAGCTATGGACATGTACGACAAAGTGTACAAAATCGTGCGCCAAAAAAGGCCAAATTGGACGCTGCCGAGAAAGAATTTGCGGCCCGTTTTGAAGCCAACATTTCCATCATTTCCGCAAATTCTTTCTCGGCAGCGTCCAATTTGGCCTTTTTTGGCGCCACGATTTTGTACACTTTGTCGTACATGTGCCATAGCTGCTTAACGAAGCCATCAATAAGCAAAAAGAATTGCAAGACAGTGTGGATTTATGTAATAAGTTGTATCGCGCTCAAAAACTCATCGGAGGTCTTGGTGAATAGCTCAGAAGCTCACATCAACTGGTGATTTGTAAAAATCACCTTAAAGCTATTGCCTATTCGCTTATAGGCGGAGAGAAAACTCGTTGGACTGCTTGTGCAGACGCTCTTCCGGGTCCAATTCGATGGTTTAGCTGGAGACATTCTGATATCGTGTGGGATAATATCTTACTTGTCTCCTTTTAACAGCATCTACAGGCAAAGAATTGTGCTCGACTGGCACAAGTACGTCAAAAACTTAGATATTCCAACAGCCGATGAATTCGAGATGGTCACAGTGCTGGGGTCAGATGTTAAGATCCAGCAATGGTATATGAGCGGCTTGCCGAGAGACAGCTTTAGTACTGAGAACGGTACCTCTGAGTGTGATAATTTATTGGTTTTTATATGCTGGCTTTGCTAGGAATTATAATGGATAACTCTAGAAGATGGTCCCTATTTGTTGATTCGTAGGCTCAAGCCAGCAGCTAGATTTAAAAAATGGAAAAAGTCAATAACTTGGAGGTGGTCAAATTTTCTTTTCAAAATTATATGACGACTATTGAAACCTGCTTTCAATTCGGGTATCCAGTATTAGTAAGTAGCACACAAGACTTTTGGATAGTATTCTTAACATTTTACAACAAAAATGTAGCTCTATAGAGTTTATTATTCCATAATATACCTACTCACTTTAGCCGCTCTAGATCCGTTATTGTACAAGAAAACGTACAAGCAAGCCGGCATTGAAGTGATCAGCGTTGGACAGAATGTGATTGAATACAATAAGAACTTTAGGCAATGAGAGACACGTCTGCTGCCTGTTTGAAAACCAACTGTATTTCTTTTCCTTAGGTTGTATTTAACATCTAAGTTGAGAAATCCACACTATCTACCGGAAGTGTTCAACCGTGTGACGATTATCAGTTGTTGGGTAACTAAAACGAGCATTCCTTATTTGTTAGTCAGTATTATTTAAATGTTTCCATGCGCAATAGGAATTGTTGTGGCTGTTGAAAAGCCTGAACTACAACAGCTGAAAGAAGAACTGATAGTTCAAAAAGCGGAAAACAAGGCCGCTTTGGAAAACACGGAAGAAAAAATCTTAAAAACCCTCTCAGAGACTAAAGGCGATATCTTGACGATTCGATGCTTCTGTCTACGGAAATCTGTGAGAAGCAGGAAAAATCATTTCAAATCGAAAAGTCGATTGAAGAATTCAGAGTGAAGTACCAAGCAGTAGCGGAACATTCGGCCGTATTGTACTACTGTATTTTGGATGTAGCCAACGTAGACCCCATGTATCAGTACTCCTTAGAGTGGTTCATCAATCTGTACGTGGGATCGATACAAAAAGCAGAGAAGTTCCGCAGCATCGAGAAACGATGTCAAAGCCTGATAAATTGATTCACTTTGGACCTGTATAACAACATCACGCGTTCTTTGTTCGAAAAAGACAAATTGCTTTTTTCGTTTTTGCTCTGTTCCAAAATCATGATTTCCCAGAGAAAGCTGAATGAACGCGAGATTATGTTCTTTCTTACTGCCGGAGTGACTGTCGAAAACGCCCTAAAAAATCCGTACGAATCTTGGTTGCCCGACAAATCCTGGGATGAAATTTGCAGATTGGAAGATTTGACCATCTTCAAAGGTTTTCTGCAGCACTTTGTAGATGCCCATGATAAATGGCGGAATATTTACGACAATTATCAAGAGGATTTGGTGTGGCCAGAACCTTGACACAGAACTCTATCTAATATTGGGTAAGCGGGCCACGCGCTTAAGATGGTTTACTGAGTAGAATGTTGTTTCTAATTTCAGACGTTTAATTGTCATCCGAGTTCTTAGACCAGACAAATTAATCAGGGCCGTCAGTCTCTTTGTCCAAAACGAGACGGATGAACGGTTTCTTAAACCACCGCCATTCAACATTTCACTCTCCTATAACGACTCCTACAGTTTATGTCCATTGATTTTCATATTATCTCCTGGCACCGACACCATGGCTGCACTAGTAAAATGTGCGGAAGCGCAGAAAATGTCGAACAGGTGGATTCGACTCAGAGGAAAAAGATCCCAACACCATTGATTATTTTTTATTCTATCGGCAGATTTCGATCGATTTCGTTGGGTCAAGGTCAGGGTCCGATAGCTCAGGCAATGATCGAAGAAGACCAGGACTCCGGAATGTGGGTTTGCCTGCAGAATTAGCAAGTGAAAATGACCAACGAACGACCGACAGGTACCACACCCGTTATAGGCCAGAGGAGTCACATTGCACGATTCCAAGATGCCATTTTGTTGTAAGTAAGGTAGTTTTTAGGGTTTCAAAACAACCTTCTAAAGTCCTACATAAGCGACCCGGTAAAAAATCCAGAGTTCTTCAACGGCTGGCCAGAGCACGAGGAAATGTTCTCCAGGCTGTTATATGGCTTGGCCTTCTTCCATGCAGTGGTTCAAGAAAGAAGAACGTTTGGACCGCTCGGTTGGAACATTCCGTATGGATTCAACGATTCCGATTTCGATATATCTGTACAGCAATTGCAAATGTTTATTAACGAGAGCGACAATCCGTTCGAGGCTTTGTCCTACCTAATTGGTGAATGCAACTATGGAGGTGGGGAGTTCGGTAGATCAGTCGAACTGTTTACAGATTATCCACTTATTTTCAGGTAGAGTGACGGATGATTGGGACAGGCGATTGATTGTGAGCATTCTAGACGACTCTAAATCCTCGCATAGTTACACAAAAAAACTACGTCTTTACCA